TCTCCCTCCGTATCTTTCCCCTCATATCCTCCCGTGTAACCTCTCTCACCAGATAGATGAGGTCGAACCGGGACAGAAGCGTGGGCGGAAGCTTGATGTTCTCGATCACGGACAGGCGCGGGTTATACCGGCTCTCCACCGGGTTGGCAGACGCCAGGATGGCTGTGCGAGCGTTGAGGGTGCAAATCACTCCCGCCTTCGCAATCGACACCTGAAACAAACGCGTTCATATGCCGTTTGTAGACACGAAATCGACAGAAAAATGTGGAAGCGTGTCTTTGCAAAAATCGAACATGTGTAGCTAGCAGTTCGTAATTCGTGATCATCTTTTTTTTGAAGAATTTGAAGATGCCTTCAAACATGCATAACAAAATGGCATCTTGCGTTCGATTCGTTTGGTCGTGTCCGGCGGTTCACATGAAACGGAACAAGACAAATGACTAAAACATAATGGGGATCCTACACCACCACTCCGACGGCGGCGGGAGGAGGAGGAAGATGGGAGGGCGGGGGCAGCGTGGAGAGGGCTCAGCTAGCGTTGCGAAGAATACAAAGGGCTTGAAACCAAGACAGCGGCCCCACCAAAAAACAACGACAAAGCCTGACTAAACCTCACCGTCTGCTGCTCCATGGCCTCGTGCAGCACTGCCCTCGTCGTGTCCGACATCTTGTCGAACTCGTCGATGCAGCAGATACCGTTGTCGCTCAGCACCAAAGCCCCGGACTCGAGAACGAGGTCACGCGTCTCCGTGTCACGAACGACGGACGCCGTCAGGCCCACGGCGCTCGAACCCTTGCCGCTTGTGTAGATGCCTCGCGGGGCCACCTGCGGTGGTTGCGCAATACTCGTGTGCGTTCGTGTCTCTGTGTTCTTAGCATCGACAACGCTAACCGGCTGACCAACGAAAACATGTCAGTCTTGTAGCGGGATGGAGCATAAAACGAGAACGCGCCTTCTATTCAAAGGGTTGTACCTACAAGGTGTGTGTGTTAGTTTTTAATATGGGCAGCACTAACCAGCTGACCAATGAATATACGCCAGTCTCACTGCAGCTGAAAACAGAAGGCGTCCATATGAAGACCATTATCTAGAACCCCGGGTGAGGGGGCGCTATGGGAGACGCTACGATAGGTTATTCTTCGAAGTAAAGACCGAAATTGTAGCAGATGAAGAAAAATGCACCTGTCTGCCGAAGCATCCACTTCTTACTCGTGTTCGCTTTGGCTCCTTACGCCATATTTTTGTTACTGTCATCATCCTCTTTGCCTTCACCACTCTCTTAACTAATGTTCTACCACATGTGCTACTTCCGGGCAGTTCTCAAAATCTCCGGCGCTTGTCGTGTACAAGATCAGCTGGGTCGAAAAAGCTGTTCTCTTTGTAACCACCTCTTCCTTCTATGTCCACGTTTCCATTCGTCTCTCTTTTCTTCCTTTCCCTCCTCTTTCGTTGCTACTCATCGTAATCTCCTCCGAGTCACCGTCATCCTTTTTTTCGCCAGTTCCGTTCGCGCATGTAGTCATGCTCGTTTAGGAAACCTTCAAGGCGGAGGAAAGCTGACTCGTCATCATTCTTTCCTGTTATTCATGTGTCCACAAGTGGTTTGCAATTTGTGTTGTTTACTAGCATCGTCGCCGCCGCCCGAGGCGTGTCGAACCAAGTGCGTGTGTGCGTGGCAGCACGTTTTGTTTATCTGTGGGGCATGCGGCAAGCTTGTCCGAGGATGGATCGCACGCTCGAGTCGTGAACGCCTTATCTGTGGGACATGTGGCAAGCTCGTGCTATGAGTGAGTGCCCGCTTCTTGTCGTGAACGCCTCACAATCCTCACCACCCACACAACGGCGAGACTTCAAGAAAACTAGCCTGCGCTTGTGTAGGCGAAACCGTTTTCTGAACGCTGCTGCTTTTGACCACGGGGCTCCACACGGCAGGGGTCGGGGCGGGGGGATTTGCTTCGTCGAGAAGTATCTATTGTCCAACCGGACAGATAGCTCACCTTGTGAACGAAGGCCAAGAGCTGCGACTTGCTGGTGCCCGGGTCCCCGCACATGAGGACGTTGATCTCTCCTCGCGTCCTGCGAGACGCGCGCGCGCGCGCGCAAACGTCAAAAACACACCCAAGAGAGGGGTCAAGAAACACGCCATGCCATACCATGCCACGCCATGCGAAATAGACGAAAAAGAGAGGTGTGAGTTTGGCACCTAACAACAGAATAACGGAAACATGCAGCTGAGGACGGGGGCATGAAAGCGGGCACCGTGCTCCGGAACGGTCTGTATTCAAAAATGGAGAGCTATACCTATCTGGGGCAACACGAAAGTGTGCGTGGTAGTTGTTCGGCTGCATCAACACTGCACGCTATTCCTGAAGTCGCTGGGAAGAAGCACTCCAAACTTCACCAAGATTGACAGAAAAATGAAAATCAACACGGCCGGTCGTTTCCAGCCGAAAACCACTCATTCGAGTGGGTTGACAGACTGAACGAGCCGCCACCCCCCCCCCAGCTACTTGTGATTGAGGACCTATGGTGATGTTGCTTGAAATTTTCACTCCTCCGAAAGGCACAGAGCACACGCACGGCACAAACAAGAGACGTCACAAAAAATTGTAACCTGAACCGTTAGACATCTCCGTACCACCTAGGCAAGGGTACAAGCACAGAGAACAACGCAGACGGAAACACAGTCCCGCGAGAGAAACAATCGAATCACCTGTTCCCCCGGGTACTGCTGACGCTCGGGCGCGCCGCGTTACGTTCGGCTTGCGAGTCTTGGGTGTTGGGATCCGTAAGGGCGTCTGTCTCTGGGTCTACGTCGTCCTCGTCCTCCTGTGCAGACGCCGACTAAGGATGGCGTCATTGATTGCGATTGGTCGGGGCGGATGTGGGTTTGGTGTCGTTAGCGGGGGTAAATGGGTAGCGGCATGGCCGGTGAGGTCGAGAGGGCGCACAGGACAGACAACGTAGATCCAAAGGGTGGGTGAAATCGAGCATCATCACTTACCTTGCTGTTGCCACCGAACAGCTGACACAAGATACCCTTCTTGACGTCGTCCAGCTCCCAGATAGAAGGGGCGATAGCGGCCACCAACTATTTATGGATCAAAATTGCACACGAAACCAACCGCAGAACGAAGGAGGGGGGGGGAGATAACAGACAACAAAGGGGATGGGTTGAGCGAGGATGACGAGGAGCGGGTGAATGTCATCGAACAAATAACGTCTCTACGGGTACACGGTGCATACAACGAGAGACCGAATGTCCCGGTCAACCATCGGTATTGGCTATTGCCTCATCTGCTTCGGTTTCTTGAGCTAAAAATCCTTCGTTCGTTCTAGTACAATGCGAAAAGAAAACGTTTGCCGATAGCCTCCGCGGGAGAGCGCTCTTCCGACCCCAAAACACACACAGCAGCAGCAGCAGCAGCAGCAGCAGCAGCAGCAGTTCAGCTATGTACCCGGCAGGAGGACGACACGGTTCAGACAGTCTACACAAATACATCGAGGTCAAGGCTACCTTGTCCAAGGCAAGGAAATTGCCTCAACACAGAAAAGCCCGGCGAAACGGCGGTTGAAAGTCGCGATGCAGAATCGATAAAAAAAAGGCATCTGTCTATGATACTATACCACCGCATTTACGAGAGGAAACCTCCCGAGGGCTCTCAACTTCGGAAGTAGACGGGTTTGGTGAGACAGAGGAAAGAACATGAAGCTCCTAAACCTTTCGCAACGGTCCCGATCGATGGATCGATCGGCTGGCTGACCGCAGCTTCAAAATACGAGTGATCCGCTTGGAAATCGTGTGCGAAGACGGGTGATCCCTGTGGCTCTCCCGTATGATATTTTCCTCGTGTGCACACGTGACGAACAAATAATCGACAGCAGCTCAAAGCCAACACAAAGGGTCACATCACCTTCTCGTAGACCCGAGGATCTGCGGCCAGCTGCTTGAACTCCGCTATCCGTCCGGGAGAGAAGCGAGATCTCTCCACCCCTCCCTGGGCCGCCTCCAGCTCCGCCGCTGTGCCGTGCGAGGTTCCGCCCCCGCCTCGCCCGTCCACCTCTGAGTCTGACTCGGTAGACCTGTTGCGTCCGGCACGGAGCATGGACCAAAATCAGGGTGGTGAACATCTGGACTCCTTGTGTATCGTTTCCCTTCCTTTTTTTTTACTCCGTCCCATTTTGTACAGCAGTTGCCTAGACGCCCGTATAGGTTGCACGACCAGCAGAAGTGATGGCGGTGTGGACTGAAGACGGTATTATTGTTGTTTGGGTATGGTATGGCTTGCTTATTGGGGATGGTATGGCTGGGTAAAAGGTCTTGATGTGGGTGGGTTGTGTGTGTGTGTGTGCTTTATTGCATCGCCTTTTTTGGGGGTCAACGAGGCTCTAGTCAATGACTACACACTCGCAAACACCAACTGTACGCTGACCACAACCACAAAGGAATTCACCTATTCTCTCAATCTCACGCGTTTAAGGGCAGCAGCAGCAGCAGCAGCAGCAGTGACATCTCAACGATCCGTGGGCGGGTGGGCGGCAGGCATCACACACCTGAAGTGGATCACATCGACGTACGTCTTGTACACGGAGCGAACCACCCTCTGCTTCGGGTTGACCCGCTTCGGCACCGCCCGGAAGATCCCGGTGACCTCCACCCTGACAAGCACACACACAAAGACAGAGAGGTAGAGACACGCACAGATGTACAGAGGGAGAGAGAGAGAGAGAGAGAGAGAGAGAGAGAGAGAGAGAGAGAGAGAGAGAG